TACCAGGAAAACGAATCCAATAGTTTTTGATTACACACTAGAAGGTGTCAGTTTGATGCGTTGTTCAGAAGTAAGAGATCTAGGTATGTTCTTTGATGTTAAATTAGAATTCACAGGTCATATTAGTACAATAGTGTCATCCGCTATAAAAAGTCTCGGTTTTTTTATAAGAAACTGTAAGTCGTTTGGTTGTGAAACGACACTGAAGGCTTTATACTGCACCCTGGTGCGTTCTAAGCTGGAATATGCATCTAGTGTATGGCACTCATATTACCAAATCTATATTAGTGAAATTGAAAGTATACAGAGGAGATTTCTTAAATACTTGACTTTCAAATTAGATGGTGTTTATCCCAATCGTGGGACTCCCCAATCAGCAATGTTGCTCAGATTTGAAATGCATCCTCTTGAGCTGAGAAGAGTTTGTAATAGTTTAACATTTCTTTACAAACTCGTACACAGTGATGTTGATTCTTCAGCTTTATTAGCTAAAATTGATTTTCATGTACCGTCCCGCATTTCCCGAAGATTTCTCGCTTTTTACTTAAAAACACCAAATTCTAATGTTATGATTACGTCACCCGTGTACTTTATGTGCTCCAGCTTTAACGCCATAGCTGATAATTGTGACATTCATCATGATAAAATCAAAGATATATTAGCTGTATTCAGCGACTACTATTATTCAATTTATAACATTTAAGACATGTAGGTGAGTAGGTGTAGCTATTCATTTTTTTTTCATAAAATAGGTGAGCTATGATTGTAGTTGAAAATATTGTAACATCAAATTTTATTTAATTACATTGTCCTTTAAATGGATGTATCTGTTGGGCAATAAATATATTATTATAAATATATTATTATGTATCCATATACTAAAGTGTGTTTTTATAGGTACTTCTAGGACGCCTGTAGGAGAATCCGGTTAGGCCTAAAAATGTTCATATTCAGCAGTTGTTTTGTGTACAATTTTGAGTATCTTAGAGAATTTGCTAGCTTTTCAGAAAATTTTTGGGTCAGGTTCACTTTCACAAAAATCTCTCGCCGATGACTGTCCCTTCTGATAAAAATACCTGCAGGCGCCTATTGTTCTTAGGGACTTTGTTTTTAATTAAGCCCAACAATTTTGGGAATATATCATCCTTGCTTATATTACTAGATTGAGAAGTATACGACTTATATTTTATAAGTAATTTTGTTCAAATGCCCTTTTTAGTTGTTTCTATAGATGCCCATTCCTCGACTTGAATTTTCAGTAACATTTAAGCACAATAGCGGCTTAATTTCACCAGTAATTTGAGAGATGTTTTGCTTCAGGTCATTAATGGTATTTGGCAGGGGTATTATGTATCTTTAAATGTGACATTTTGTCGGTTTTTTGACACATTATACAGGGTGTTTCAATTTATTGTTGCATAACTTTAAGATTCGATAGAACTTTTAAAATTAATGCATAAAGTCTATATAAACATGGGTCGAAAAATGCGTGGCTTCCGAAATACAGGGTGTTTAAATTTATTTTCTAAAATAGTTTTTTTTTAAATATTTCGAACAATATTTGATGTATAAGAGTGAACATTGGTATACAAGGGTTTTTTGGTACGACAAAACGAACCATGGGCATAGTTTTACTGTAGCCGCTACAGGGGGCTCTCTACTGTACCTGTAGTGTTAAAATGACCGACAACTTTTTCTTAGTGCAATTTTTTGCTTTTTGAATAAAAAAACTGATTCTTCGCACTTTCCAACATAAAAAAGCTCTCCTGTGAGTTTTCGTTATAGTTAGCCGTTTTTGAGATATTTCGACTTTTAAGGTTCGATGCATTTTTAATTATTTATGATAAAATAACGTAAAAAAGTCAGTATCTCGATAATTTTTAGAAGTAGGCTGTGCCTGCAAATATTTTTGAAATTGATAGCAGAATAAGGTTAAACGTCGATCATTCGTAGATGTGAATTGTGTATTGAACAATTGGGCTTACATTTCGAGCAACTACTTTAGATTTTGTATGTTTGTCCTAACTATCCAATAGCATTTTAGTTGTAAATAATTCATTTAATTTGTTAAAAATAATATTGTAAAATTAAACAAATTAATGTTCTGTTTTTTGTGTTTATTTGGAGTTAGGAATCATTACTGTGTTTAAAAACATAATCTAAACGATCATCTCAATTACTTGTAATGCCCAAATCGAAAATGTAAAAAAAAATAATATTTTCCCATAAATAATTAAAAATGCATCGACCTTAAAAATCGAAATATCTCAAAAACGGCTAACTATAACGAAAATTCACAAGAGAGCTTTTTCATGTTGAAAAGTGCGAAGAATCAATTTTTTTATTCAAAAAGCAAAAAATTGCACTAAGAAAAATATTCGGTCATTTTAATGCACTACAGGTACAGTAGAGAGCGCCCTCTAGCGGCTACAGTGAAACTATGCCCATGGTTCGTTTTGTCGTACCAAAAAACCCTTGTATACCAATTTTCACTGTTATACATCAAATATTGTTCGAAATATTTAAAAAATCTATTTTAGAAAGTAAATTTAAACACCCTGTATTTCGGAAGCCACGCATTTTTCGACCCATGTTTATATAGACTTTATGCATTAATTTCAAAAGTTCTATCGAATCTTAAAGTTATGCAACAATAAACTGAAACACCCTGTATATGTTAGTTTTTTTGTGACATTATGTAGGTTTTTCTATAAGAGGTCTACTTGGAACTAGCTGTTGTTTGCTTGATGTACTCGTATACTTGTTATATAGCTGTAAGTGTTGCCTAAACGTCATGACGCTTGAACCATGGCTTTGCTTTGATGTTACCGACTACTGCAACTAAGATTATAGTAACTCAAAAATTCTTGCTTTTGACTTACTATATGGCATCGATAGACTTTATCGGGTTCTCTTTGGTGGAAGAATATGGTATCTCAGTCGTGCAACTATACGCAACCAGTAAATCTTCTACGTCATATAGTAAGTATAATAGTGGCGGTTGCTTCCGCGAAAACTACATCAAATTGAGTTACTTTAGTCTTCGATGCAAAAAATCACGGGAAGCCTAACTTACTGTTAAATCTACTGTCTGACTTAGCTACTTCAAGGACAGCAAGTTCAATAATAATTCAAAGCAAATACCACTGATTTCATACACCAGCAGACCAATACGCACAATCACCACACAATCATCCAGATGCGATCTTAATAGTCTGCTACTCAACCGATTTTCTTTGTCACATCTCAGAGATATATTCTACAGCATTCTGCAACCAACAAAACATGCTGGCGAACTGACTTGTATCAGGGTCATTGAGCATGTGGTTGAGTCATTCCTCCATAGGTGACACTATGGGTGCCACTCACAGCACTCGTTTTTTGACATTATGTAAGTTTTTTACATAATAACCCTGCCGCTTATTTGTTGAATGAACTTTATTGTCTTTGAGAAGTCTCTGCAAATAGTCAAAAGGGGTTAGACTGGTATAACCTCGTAAGCCAGTGGAAACATCGCCCCGTTGCGAGAAATCCTTTTCTAAATTCAAATTAGTCAGAACTTATATTTTTGTTTTTGTCCAAAAAATGTAGTATCCTATTTTGTAATAGTTCTTCAATGTTTTTGTATATTCGACAGTACTGATACGGGTCTATTATTTTTAAATGCTTAGCCTTGATACCATCTACGTCAGGTCTTTTCTTGTTTTTAAGTGATATCTAGTATAGCTCCTTGTACTCCATTCGAACTAATTAATGCTTTCGAAAAAGAATGAATTAAGAAATTTGCTTTTTGGAAGTATGTCGTTCAAAACATTTTTCTTTTAATTTTCGCTGCCAAATTCTCTCCAACGTTACTGATGTTTGTTGTTTATCTATTAATATCCTTACACCAACATGCCTAATTTCATCAATATTTGGCGTCACTTGAATGTCTTTGTTGGTTAAGTAATTGACTGCCCACCACAGTTTGCTTGGATTAGATTTTGGCATCTTGTACGCAAAATTGCTTCTATAAAATTAGCGTTTTGCCTTCACAACTAAATTGATAAAAATATTTTTATACTAATTATATTTAAGGGAGGTATCTGCATATAAGTCAACATGTTTCTAGATCCCCCCCCTCATGTTTGATTGTCACAAATGCATTCGCTCTTAGAAGCACTGATGTAAAGATCTCAAAACACACTTGAAATTGTCAAAATTGAAGAATGGCCAAATAATGACGAATTCCATTACAGGAAGAAGAAAAGGAGAGCATCACAACTTCCGCAGGCAACCCAGTGGGCGAGAAGGATGCCAGCCTTACGGTGGGCTATAGTGGTCCAGTTCTTTTACAGGACTGGGTGCTAATTGACATTCTGTCCCACTTCAGCAGGGAGCGTATTCCAGAAAGGGTGGTCCATGCCAAAGGAGCTGGGGCCTTTGGGTATTTTGAAGTAACTCATGATATTACTCAATATACAGCGGCTAAGGTGTTTTCTGAGATTGGAAAGAAGACGCCAATTGCCTGCAGGTGGGTTCATAGGATTTGATAAAAATAAATGACTTAGGTATGAAAAAAAAACAAAGCAAGATGCTCAATATTTATAGCACGTAACAGATGCAAATATAAACTTTATTGTTATTTCAAAAATTCGGAATAACGTCCTTCAACTCTATCTTTCTGCGAGGTGTGTAAATTAAGTGATGAGACTGATTTTTTTAAGCATTACAGACTTACTACAATTAAGCAAAAACGTGCCTGGAACCCAACGTTTTTGAAAGGTTATTTTATTAGATTCCCAGTTGTTCAGTAATACGGATGGCTTGTACTAGCTACTCACCATCTCGTCATCAGCCGTTTATAGTTTTTGACAACTTAAGAATTTAGAACATTAAAATCTCCGTTTTTTAAATAACTTTGAGGCCCTATCGGGCTTAAAAATGAGTATACTCAAACTGATAATAGGAGAATAAGCATTCTTGTTAAGATTTTTATCGGTTTAATACGTTCTTTTCAGATTCTCCCAAGTAGCTGGCGAAATGGGCTATCCTGACACGGTACGTGATGTTAGAGGCTTCGCTCTGAAGTTTTATACTGAAGATGGGATATGGGATTTAGTCGGAAATAATTTTCCAGTTTTCTTCGTGAAGGACTCTATTTTGTTTCCGGACTTTATTCATACTGTCAAAAGGTAAAAATGTGCTCAGAATAACACTGTTATAAAGCCTGCACTTTGTACCAGCATTTGATAATACAGTTGCCTTCTAAACCTACTATACAAACTCTCCAAATTTTGCTCCACAATCCTGTCACCTGTTGTTGCAGGTCGATGTCTACAAACAATGAAAAGTCATAATATGTACAGGGTGCGGCAGAGAGGATGGACGGTTTTAAAAAAATCATAAAATAGTTAATTGTTACTCGAAAACAAATTTATTTATGGAATCAGGTTCACAAGGACAGCCAAGTATGGAAAATCACATCAGGCATGTGGTGGCCGAAATCGTTGATGCAGTGCTGGAGGCGTTCTTGGAAGTTCGCGATACAGCGCACCAGACCGTTACTTTTGGGCTGTACAGCGGTCTTTCGTGTAAATGTTGCGGATTTTCATTAGCCCAAGAACGACAATTCTGCTCGTTAACCATGCTGTTTAGGTGAAAGTGGGCTTCGTCACTCATAAACAAAATGAGGTTCTCATTTTGATCGATCAGTGGTTCCATCTCACGTGCGAAGTTCATTCGTTGTGCATAATCTCCGGGCTGTAACTGTTGCACAATGGCCAATTTGTAGGGGTGAAAGCGAAGATCCATATGCAAAATTCGCCTTACCGAACGATCACCTAGGCGAAGTGCAGCAGCATGTTTCCGGGCAGATCGAGTCGGACTGCGAAGAAAGACCTGTCGAACGCGTTCAACATTTTCAGGAGTTCGAACTGTTCGCGGCGCTCCTCTTGGTCTTCTGTTGATCAGTTCACCACGCCTGCGAAGTGATTCAACCCAACGAAGGATGGTGTTTCGTGAGGGAACAGCTCTATTCCGATGAATGTTGAAGTGGCGACGAAACTCACGCTGTACGACGATGACCGACTCATTATTTCGGACGAAACAATCATAGGCGAAAACGCGGTGCTGCACCGTCCAAGGCTCCATAACGACAACTGGTAAATTAATGCTAGGATCTCACGAGTCAAACGGCACCCTCCCCACCTCTCTCGTAGACGGAGGCGGAGAGTACTACCCATCCCAAAAACGTCCGTCCTCTCTGCCGCACCCTGTATATTGCCGACTGCGCCTGTTTTTCGTAGATTAGCATCCTGAGAAATATCTTCTCGCGGCGCACAGTCTGCAGCAGTTAGTTCTGCAATGTAATATAACAAGTGGGGCCAACAAGCTTTTGTTATCGCATTCATGTTATATTTTCAGAAATCCAAAAACTCATATAAGACCCGACTACGACATGTTCTGGGATTTCATCTCACTCAGAGCTGAGTCGACCCACACCATGTTGATGATGTTCTCGGATCGTGGTATTCCCAACAGCTACAGACACCAACATGGATATGGAGTGAACACATTTGCGTTTGTAAATGCCGCAGGGGAGTTCAACTATGTCAAGTTCCATTGGATGAGCAATCAAGGTAACTAAAGATGAGATATTAAACCAGGCACTTTACAAATGTAAGCTTTCTTGAAATAGTTGTAAAAACACCTGTGAGTGGACCGAACCGCCACAAACCATAAGGTTTACAGCCTTCCACGTTAACACACAAAAAGGTGCTTCTAACGGGTGATTTTTTAAGAGGTATAGGATTTGATTTTCAAAAAAAACAAAAAAATTGAAAAAACGATTAAATCTTTATTTGAGTCGATAGAACGGTCGATATAATTTAATGTTTAAATATTATTTCATGTAAATGTTGGCCGCGGCTCCGCTTTAGATGGCCCATGCGCAAGGTCCAATTTTGGCACACTCTCTCCAACATATCGGCCGGTATCTCACGAATAAATGCTTCAATATTGGCTTCCAGTGCGTCAATCGTTGCTGGTTTATCCCTGTAGACATTAGCCTTAACATGGCCCCACAAGAAATAGTCCAACGGCGTTAAATCACACGATCTAGGCGGCCAATTGCCGGGCCCCAAACGTGAGATAAACTGTTCACCGAACTCGCCTCTCAATAGGGCCATTGTTTAGTGTGCGGTGTGGCATGTGGCACCGTCTTGTTGAAGCCACATGTCAGCCAAGTCCAGCTCTTTCATTTTGGGCAAAAAAAAGTTTGTTATCATCGCACGGTAGCGCTCGCCATTCACAGTTACGTTCCGGCCATTGCCGTCTTTGAAGAAGTACGGCCAGATGATGCCACCGGCCCATAATCCACCCCAAACAGTGATTTTTTCGGGACGCATTGGTAGATCTTGCAATGCTTCTGGCTGGTCTTCACTCCAGATGCGGCAATTTTGCTTGTTAACGTACCCATTCAACCAGAAATGAGCTTCGTCGCTGAAGACAATTTTTCGATAAAAATGTGGATCTTCCTCCAACTTTGCCAGCGCCCATTCTCCAAATTGGAAACGTTGTGCGAGGTCGTGTGGCTTCATTTCTTGCACCAGCTGTATCTTATAAGGTTTTACACCTAAATCCTGTCGCAAAATTTTCCACGTAGTGGAGTAACAGAGGTCCAATTGCTGCGAACGGCGGCGAATCGACATTTCACGGTCATCACTAACACTGGCGGATACAGCCGCAATATTTTCTTCAGTCCTCACTCTGCGTCTGCGTGTTGGTGGTTTAATGTCCAATAATGTAAACTTGGTTCGAAATTTAGTCACAAGCTTCCGAATAGCTCCCTCAGTAAGTCGATTCATGGTTAAATTATAGACCAAACTGAACAAGTTTGACAATGACCCAAGACACGATTCACGCGTCATCTGTCAAAAACAGTGTTGCAAAAAAGAAGAAGAATAGTGGCCAAATAGTGATTGAAGATCTCACATCCTTCAGAATGATTGTTCACGAACGTTCAAGTCCGATCTCCAAGCTTAAATCCCCAATATGAGAATGTTCAGAGTTATAAGTTTACACATCTCCAGTGGGAGGAAACGCCCTTGGTGTAAGTAAAAAATGTATCGGCCTCTTAGGAAAGGATTGGAGCTTTGCATTCTACATGGAGATACTTGCTTTGAATGAAGTTTGACATTTGGTCTTCGTTAATAAAAACCGTCATCTACAGAAATGTTGTTAAACGCTGTGCCAACACAGGACAAAATAGAATTAAACTTTTTCAAATAATTATCCCTTGAAGGTATGCTATATGTTTCGGAAACACTGTTTTTATTCAATTGTTTCTTTCCTAGGCATTGCTAACCTGGGTTCCGCAGAAGCAGAGCGTGTAGCTGGCAACGATCCAGAATACTTGATTCGCGATCTCTTCAACAACATAGAAAACGGCAACTACCCCTCGTGGAGCTTTTACATACAAATAATGACACCTGAGCAAGCCGCCAAAAATCCTTACGATCCTTTTGATGACACGAAGGTGTGGCTACACGCCGACTATCCTCTTATTCCTGTAGGAAGGCTTGTGCTAAATAAGAATCCCAAGAGCTACTTTGCCGAAGTGGAACAGATTGCTTTTGATGTGGCTCACTTGATACCAGGCAAGTAGATCATGATTTTGAATGCAGAACTTGTCCATATAAAAAGATACATGCTTTATTAACCCTTTGGCCACTTAAAAATGATGTAGGATGGGTCACAGCTGAAATTTTATAAGTACATAATAATAATAATATTTATTCACTCAATGTACAAAGATAACAAACAATATGAGTAAATAAATATAAAATCATAACAGGCCCAATAGAAGGCATCGCCTATACATGGTTCAATAATTTTAAGTTGCAACTGTAGAATGCAAATGACAAAAAAGGACAAAATTAGCTACAGTAGATTATGTATTTACTTGATGTTCGTATTTATGAGTTTATGAATTTCAGTCCTAGATATAGAATGTAGCCACTTTTAAATTTCTTTTGAAACAATTTCCGAAACGTAAATCTTTTAAGTCTTTAGGTATAATTTCATTTAGGAGCTAAATAGAGATATGATCGCTGCATTATAGATTTATGCGGCTGAGGAACTACTGTGCCACGAATTGTGTACCTTGTATAATGATTATGTTTAATTTTCTGGTCGGTGTTTACAAATTTATGGTAGTGAGTGATACTGTGTAAGAAATAAAGCTGTCTTATATCATATCGAACATCTGCGTATAAGTTGTCAGTGGGATAAAGTTTCGGTTTTTTAAATATCATTTTATAATACTTTTTTGAAAAACATCTAAATTATAAATATGTGAGGAACATGCAGCTCCCCATGCTAATATACCATATGTGAAATGAGGCTCAATCAGTGCATAGTATAATGTTCGAAGATATTTTTCTGTCAATATATTCCCAAGGTATTTAATTTTGTAGGATACAAATCTAACTTGACAAGGATGTCCCATCGTAAGTGAGAATCCAAGACCACTCCAAGGTATTTTATGTTGGGCACTCTATTAATTTGCATTTTTTGATCATTAATGTTGAAGGAGAAATTTGTGTAATTTGGCAGATGTCTAGCATAAGATCCAAATGGTAAAAAATGTGTTTTAGAATAGTTAATGCTTAATTTTCTACTGTTAAACCACAGAATAATTTTGATAAAATCATTTTCAATTACATTTTTCAGATCAGACCAGTCAGTGCCTTCATATAATATTCCAGTATCATCTGCAAAACTGGTTATTTTGCCAACACAATAAATTTGGAAAATATCATTTAAATATATATTGAATAACAGCGGACCTAAGACAGTTCCTTGTGGGACACCACACTTAATATACATTTCTTTACTAAACGATCCTGATATCTGCACAGATTGTGGGCGATTTGACAAATAATTTTCGATCAGTGAGTACGCGTTTCCTCTGAAACCAATTCTCTCCAATGCTTCTAATAATAACTTGTGATTAACTGTGTCGAAAGCTTTCTTTAAATCAACAAAAATGCAGATTGAAGGGATTCTGTTATCAATATTTTGATGTTTTTGATTTACAATTTTAGTTATTGCGTCCGATGTAGCCTTCCCTTCTGTAAATCCATATTGATTTTCACTTAAAATTTTGAATTTTGTGAGGTATCGAATCATTCTAGTAGATAAAAGTTTTTCAAAAACCTACACTGGATATTATTGATATTGGTCTATAGTTGTTAACATCTGTTTTTGTTCCTGATTTATGTATCGGTATTATATTACTTTTTTTTAAAATTGAGGGATATATGCCAGATTCAAAGCATTTGTTGATTAGGTAAGTGAGTGTTTCTATTATGCCCTCGGCTATAATTTTCAAATCCTCGCTTTTAATACCATCGAACCCAGGACTTTTTCGATTTTTTAAAGACATAATAGTGGTGTATACTTCACATTGCTCGACTTTATCCAAAATAAATGAGTTCAAAGATCTTTTTGGAGGCTGAGTATTTTGTACATTTGCTTGTATATTACTTGCTAAATTTTCGCCTATGTCTGTAAAAAATTGTACAAATTCATAGCATATTTGTTGAATATTTTTTAATACTGTTCCCGATGTTGTATTTAACTCAGTGACACTCTTTAAATTTTGTTTTCCCAGTAATCTCATCAATAGTTGTCCAAAGCCGCTTAGGATAATTTAAGTTATTATTCAATTTATTTAGCCAATGTTTTCGTTTGGTTTGCCTTGCAAGCTCTATAAATTTATTTTTATATTGGTTGTAGCAGTCGGTATTCTCTGTAGTTGGCGTTAGCTTCATTAAATTATATAGTCTTTCTTTTTCTATTGCCGATGTTATTAATCCTTAGGTAATCCAGGCATTTCTGCTTTTCTCTTTGTGACTAATTATTACTTTATCGGTACTAATATCTATTAGTTTTTTATTTTCTCTATGAACAGTCCCGTTGCTTTGTCTATATTATTTATAGAGTATAATAATTGTTCCCAGGATTCTTGTTTGACATTTGATATTAGTTTTGAATTGTCGACAAAAAAATTTTAATTTTCCTGGTTGTTATTAACGGTAGGGATGTTAGAATGTTTTAAATTTGAAGATATCAGTAAAATAGTGGAGAAGTGGTCAGTAATATCGCTTTCTAAGATTATTGGTATACAAGTAATTTTGTTGGATAGGTCTTTCACAAAGCAATGCCACTGATGGACCTTGTAGGTAGGTTTAAATAGGACAGAGATCCGTTACTTGATAGGATATTCAAGTATTCATTTGTGATGGGATCATCGTCCAAAATATTTATATTGACATCTCCCAAGAAAATATGTTGCTTTAAATGAACGTTATTTTGATTTTGAAAAAAAAATTCGATATTCTTTGAAAACTCGTGGGGTTCTGAACATGGCGGACGATAAATTGCAGAAACCTCAATTTTGTTATGGTTAATTTGGATCATTGTTTAAAATTTTGATTCCATCGGTGAAAGTGAATGTATCATGATTATATTGTTTATTTCTTACATACACAGGCATATCACTACGCATAGGAAAACTTACTCTTACTATGTTTGTCGTATAGAAAAACAACAAATCTATAATATGAGTAAAACACTATGGAAGATACAGTAAAGATATGAAAAAAAAATATTTACTCTCTGTTACTGAAACTGAAACTATGAATAAAAGATTGAATTTATAAATAGGTAAACATAAAGGTACATAAAATCGAGAAATATAAAAAACCACTGTTACACAAAAAATATACAAAATGAATAGGTATTCAATTTTGGGATATAAAATAGTATGAGGACATTTGTCAACAAGATATCTCTTCAGATGGACTTTTAGAACATTAATGTTGGGAGGAGGATTCCATACATACATTTGATACTTTTTTAAATATAATAGTGTTAACGCGTACGAATAGATAAATCATCATCACCACTTCTTGTGTTACAACAGCAGTTGTTTTGTATAAATTTATTTCTATGACAGAATGCGAAGATTTGTAGGTATATACCTGTATAGGGCTGTTACTGTAAGCAAATTGTATCGGATAAAGTACACTGTTTTGTTACAAGGGCATTGAAGCTAAAGAACTGCTTCAATGATGAGAAAGAATCCAAGCTTTAACGTTATACATCTTTTCAGGTATTGAACCCTCTCCCGATAGAATGGTCCAAGGAAGGCTGTTCAACTATGGAGACACTCATCGTTATCGCATAGGGGTTAACGTCACTCAGTTACCTGTCAATAGCCCCTTTAAAGTTGCTAACTATTCAAGAGATGGTCGCCATACAATACAGAGTCAAGGTAAGTTGTTGCTTGAACGGGTGCTGCTAGATCTACCATCCAACGCTTTTAACTGCACAGGAAAACTAGACCAGATTGTTGCTTCTTTGGAACTAGAAGGGGGGTTTTTCCGCTTTTCAATTAATCAGCTTGTTGAGATACGACATTCATTTGTTCAGTAAGGCTCAGAATCTCAGAAACGCTGGTTCAGCAAGCCTCAAACCGGACCATTATCACAAATTTTGACATCTGCTGCTTGTTTTGAATCTGCCATTTTTTGCTGATCATGGTCAGGATCATGAAAAGACATAGTTTAAAAATTTCCCGCTCTCCACATTTCAGTCAAAAATTAGGGTTTCGTATAAGAAAACTGTCTTAACCTTCAGATTACCTTGAAGGTCATGATCAAGGTTTCATTTAAGAAAACTGCCTTAAGCTTCAGATTACTTAGGAGGTCATGGTCAAGATCACGGTTAAGACTGCCATTAGAAAATTCTTTTCAAACCATATAACTTTGTTCTACAACATTTTACTCTAGGAGACGTAGTTTCGGGTTGTTTTGATCTACCCATACTATTTAAGCACCCTGTATGTTTTTGCGGATAAAACCACTCCTATAGCCTTCCTCGGGTTTCAATTAGCAAGTGTACACATTTTTACGCCTCAAAGTTGCGTATTAAGGTAATCAACAAAATGCCGCTTACAAAGTTTCGAAATTCAAAGTACAGTACAGAGACGGAAAAACAGAATTTTTCCAAAATCATTTAAATTTTTTCCTGAATATTTGTAGTGAGATTTCAAAATGAATTACACATTCACATTATCACTTTTTTTCCTCTACAAGAAGGTAACTAGAACTTCAATATGACGTTTTGTCTCGCGTCATCCAGCTATTCGATTTTTACGCAGATGAATAGAGTATTTGATTCGGATTCCAAAAATGCATAATACTTCATACATTGCCAAACCTTAGTTATTTTAAAAAAACAGAATTTTCTAGGTAGGCCTTGAGATTATCGATCATTTCGTAAACCAGATTTATCCCAAAATCACTTCTATATTTTACCGGCGTTATTTGGCATATTTCAAAATAAATTACATGTTGTCATTGTTACTTATTTTCCTCTAGAAGATGGCGAAGTCAAATTTTCAATTCGACATGTCTTCTTTCGACCTCCATCACCAACTTTGTTTTTTCATATGGACGCTATATTAGAATAATGTAAATTTAAATGGACCTTTCATTCCCCAGTCAGTTATGTATTTCCTTAGTTGACCATCAATTTGTTGTTCAATTGAACTTATAAGGAAGTAAAAAGATATGATAAAGCTTGAACTTAAAATGAAAATGTGTTATTGATGGTAACAACAAAAATAGTCATAAATAAGCAGAAGTAAATCATAGCAGATGTTGTCAGTTATTTTGCAGCCAAAGCCTGACTCTTCTCTGTACATTATTCACTGCTCGGTTTATTTCTCTTCTTCCCGGACTTCAAAACTCTGTTGCTATGTTCAATTTGAGATTAAGACCATTTTTGTCAAAAATGAGTTCAATATGTAAAGCAAAAGTGAAGTAAAGTAAAGTTTATTTACCAAAAATGACGATAATATTGTAAACTGAATATAAAAGCGTACAACGGATGACTTATGTTGGCTTTTCTTCACCTTGGAACACCCAAACAGCCGACTGTCATTTATTTTCTGGTTCATAACAGTAAATCCACGATTCATCACCACTAACAATGCTGTACACGTTTCTTAGTTTCCGGAATTGAAACGTTCAAGCGTTTTTTGACACCAATTAACCCTGGCTGCTTTCTGCTCTTCAGTCAACAGGTGGGGTATCCAACGAGAAACTAATTTTCTTACTCCTAATTCTTCATGTAAAACTTTTTGAATTGAGGTCTATGAGATCTTCAAGGACGCCTCAATCTTGCGATATGTCACATGTCTATCTTCAATGATGAGTTTGCGCACATCATCGACGTTATCCTGGGTGACTGCCGTTTTTGGTGCAACCACCCTGGAATCGTCGCTACGACTCACCCTTCCACGTTTGAATTCTCCATACCAAGAGGAAATTGTCGACTGATGTGGCGCTTCGTTGCCGAAAACGGACAGTAACTCAGCAAGGCATTCTTGTTGTGATAATTGTCTCTGAAAGTTGTAATAAATGATGGCGCGAAAATGTTCTCGGTTGAGTTCCATTTTTCTAATGACTTGGTGACACTTAAAAATTCACTGTAGTGAGAACACTGCACGTACTGTTGTGAAACTTTGAATTTAAGTTTACTAAAGAGTGATGTTGAGATTCAGTACTGACGTTCGATCCACGCGGCCTACTATGTTTCTATAAGCAAAACTTAAAAGACATCCCTCGTACCTAGGAAATTCTACTTTTTTAAGTAAATCAGATTTAGCGAAATCAACGAATGACATTTGTTATTGTTGGAATCAGAATTAAAAACTCAACACCTGTGCAAGAATCCAATATGGGGTCTATAAGAAAAATTAAATAAGGCTGGAGGACAAAAGACGAAACCTCATGTTGAAACTCTAATTATGCCATCTGATAGAGGAAAAAAAAGTGGCAAAATTTAAAACGATTTTGGGAAAATTCTGCTTTTTCCGTCTCTCGCCGGAATTACTTTGAATTACTTTCTAAGCGGCATTTAGATAGGCATCTCTGTCTCCATTTAAGGGACTTCGTATCTCTAACAGTTTCCTGTCGGCTTAGATATTTTATTCAATTCTATATTTATTAGCATTCTTGGAATAATAGGCTCTACCCTACTTCGTGTTTTCTAGGTGGAGCTCCGGTTTACCACCCCAACAGCTTCCGAGGCCCGGAAGACGATCGTCGCGCACGCGCATTAGCTCCAGTACTGCCGCTAAACGGCGACGTAAAGAGGATTGACAGTGGGGGCGATGACAACTTCACTCAACCTGGATTGCTCTACAGACGTGTGATGAACGAAGGCGAGAAACAAAGATTGGCTGACAACATCGTTTCTTGGTTGGCGAGAGCCAATACTGTGATCCAGGAGAGGACCATCACCAACATTCTGAACAAGGTGGATGAAGATCTCGGAAGAAGGGTCAGAGAGGGGATCAATAATTCACAACCGCACGCTACTGTCGATTTGTGAGGTGGATAGATTGGATCATGGCTTGAGATGATTGTTGCTATTCTAAATTGGACTGTTATTGGAATCGAATCAATATAATCTTGCAGAATATTGTGTCGTTTTATTCGAAGTGCTTGCAACTGGATTAAGTGTTACCTGACAGGTAGTAGTTAAAGGGTTTCCATTCCAAAGAATGAAATAGCAGCTGTTTCGTTACAGTTAACGATAGCAAGAGGTACTCCACAAGGTAGTATCTTAGAACCTCAAATAATGTATGGACGATGAAATAGAAGATAACACTAGTGTACTGATATCTGGCCAAGATTTCAATCATGTAGCGGGAAGTACTTTGAACCTCTGCGAGAGAGCGCTAGTAATGGATCATCCCTAACTACCTACTAAACAAATGCGATTGTACAGGGTGCGTCATCTATTACTTTTTTTTCTATTTGAAAAATCAGCACGCTTTTTACGAGGTGAAATCGATTTTTTTATTGATATATGAAGGTTGGTTTATGCCATTTATGTATGAAAAATAACATCAGTCATGTGACCACCGCGGCCAACATCCGAACATCAAAATTTTCCATGACTTTTCTCAGAATAATCGGGTCTATGTCTGCAATTTCTGTCCGAATATTGCGCTTTAGGTCTTGAATTGTCCAGGGACCATTCGCATACATTTTTTCTTTCAAAAATCCTCAACGAAAATAGTCAAGAGGTGTTAAATCGCACGATCTAGGGAACCAACTAACATCTGAATTTCGTGAAATTATGCGGTCTTGAAATTTCGTGTGCAATAAGGCGATTGTTTCGCGAGATGTGTGAACCGTTGCTCCGTCTTGATGAAACCAAAGATCTTCGGCACCAATACGATCCAATTGTGGCCACAAAAAGTCTGTTAACATGCCGCGATAACGTTCCCCGTTGACGGTAATGGCCTTTTCTTTGACATCTTCAAAGAAGAATGGTCCAACGATATCATCAGCCCATAATCCGCACCAAACAGTCACTTTTTCAGGATGGAGAGGTTGTTCATGATAGTGGGGTGGATTTTCAGCCCCCCAGAATCCGCAATTTTGCTTAGTTACGTACCCATTGAGGTGAAAATGAGCCTCATCAGAAAAGAGCACTCTGGCCGAAAATCCGTCCTCTCTTTCCAGCATCCAATTAACAAAAACACGCCGCTGTTGATGGTCTGCCGGCTTCAATTTTTGTGTTAGTTGGATTTTGTATGCATGGAGGTGTAAATCAATGTGTAAAATCCGGCGTAAAGTGGTTCTCACTAATTCCCAATTGTTGCGAACGGTGCCTAGTCGAGGTGGTTGGATCTTCTCGCACACTTTCACTCACTGCGGCTATGTTTTCACGAGTACGAGCTGGACGAGCATGTTGGTATAGTCTACGACCTTCAGCTGAACCAGTTTCCTCAAAACGATTAACAATCCAATGAGTTCCAGGCTCTGTATGGCGTCCACGTCGGCCAAAACTAGAGCGAAGTTTGCGAAAAGTATTTTTTTTATTTCGACCGTTTTCGTAATAACTTAGGATAACCAAAAAGCGTTGTTGTGTTGTAAACGAATCCATGACTATAAATGGCATACCTTTGACAGTTCATTTATGCATACTACATGACTTTTGACTCACATGGTAACACATAAACTTAGGTAAAAAAAAGTAATAGATGGCGCACCCAGTACTTCAGCTAAGAAAAAAAAATCGAAGCTACAATCGTCCCTTTAGCCGAAAGAGTAGAAGTCCCGCTGAGAGACTGTGGGAAATGCTTAGGAGTCCATATCGACCAAGCATTTTTTTGGTTTAAGCATATAACATATCTAGGAAAAAAGGCTAAAGAATGCACTAGAGTACTAAGTAAGTACCTAGATGTTAAGTCACTAAAACTGGTATACTACGCAAATTTTGGGTTCATTGCACGTTTTGGCATAATTTTCTTCGGACATAGCAGCTATGTCAATAGGATCTTTCTAGTCCAGAAGCGAGTGATGATGTGCAGAGAGACCTGCAGAGGAAAATTCAAGAGCAATAAAATTTCAACTGCCGCCGCAATGTACAGGGTGTCCGCAATGTTGGGGTTTTCCTTTACACGACGTGTAGATCTTGAAAACATAAGCAATTTTTCGTAGTACCATATACACCAATGTCTTAAGGGAACCGAGATAAAGGGCTCTGCAACATCAAAAATATCTGAATACCGTCCTGTAGCCGCGACCCGGGACATCACCCAGTGGTACCAGGTATCAACCCGACGGCAGAACTGGGTCGGGGTCAGTGTGTCAGGTTAGTATGCAACCGACGGTTACGGTCACGCGTGTAGAGGTAAACGAACTCGTATAATCGATTGCGTTTCAAAAAACAACAAGCACTAGAGACGTGGCTAGAGAAGTGCAAGTATCAAAAACTAAAGTGTGGCAAACGCTGCGTGAAGGGGGGCTGTATCCGTTTCACGTCCAACGTGTACAAGCCCTTCAACCTGACGATTTTCCAGCAAGAGTGCGGTTTTGTGAGTGGTTGTTGCATCAACATGACAATAATCCGGACTTTTTGAAGTGCATATTGGTGACAGACGAATCTACGTACACGCGTAATGGGGTGAATAACTTTCGCAACACTCATGTTTGGTCAGTAGAAAATCCGCACGCTGTCCGTCGGGCACATTTTCAACAAACATTTTCGGTGAATGTTTGGGCTGGCATGGTGAACGGTATGCTCATTGGACCATTTATTCTCCCAAATCGATTGGACGGGATGCAATACCTAGACTTTTCACGCAACATTTTGCCTTCCTTGTTAGAAGATGTGCCATTAAGTGTAAGACAATCAATGTGGTTTCTGCGTCTGCTCGGTAGCGCTTCAGCTGATTTCATTTTCTGTTGGAGCGGTATGATTTCGGGCAGAGACGTACTTAGCCCTTCTCGTCAACTAGAGAGTGAGTACTTTTTCCTTTATTTTTTTTACTTGGTCGCCCTCGTTTCACTACACATTACCTTTGTTATTTCAAGGGTAGTTGTTTCTGAAAAGGAAAACCCCAACTTTGCGGACACCCTGTATATTCAAGGGATACTATTTTTTACATTTAAAGTCATTGCCAACTTTATCGGTAACCCACGAAGTGATTATAACACAATAAAAGAAATATGAAACCTCTCACCACAATTTAGTAAGCTTGAATTTCATACAAGCAGGGGTCTCCAAGAGATTCTGTCAACCGATAAAATAAATACTAAGGCGTAATTTTGGAATGCCCATACAAAGTACCTAGTGAAGACACTGAGATATATAATTCCAAAATTCAGATACCTCAGAGATATTCTGTATAAAAAATATCTACACAATCTTATTATTATGCTCTGATTAACCCGCTGCTACATTACGGAATTTTGACTTGGGGGAATTATGAATAATAATTACAAAAAGGCTGATGTAATTCAAAAATTAATTCTAAAGTTGATCCTACATAAGACGTTACTTATCCAAGTCATTCTCTATACCTATATAGAGGCTCGACTGTTAGATTGCAGACACATTTATTTTTGTAGTGGTCTAGCAAACATTCGAAATACTTGAATCGTATCATTCATAACTATAGAACAAGATTCAGTCAAAATTCAATGTTTATTCCACAACCATCAAATTTGACTTTATTAGACTGCCTCGTATCTCCTTAAACTGCTTTGGATATCCTTCAATTGGGATAAGATATCTGCCCATAACCATATACTGACACAATGTTTCTGACTCCATCATATTTCACTTTTTGTGAAAAAATATGTCATCTAGTGAGTAAAGATCTACGTCATCAATATTTTTCAGAACGATCATCGGGCATTTTCGATCGGCATCGTCAACAGGTGCGTAACGTAATGATGAGACAGTTTGAATAGTCCGTGAATAATTTTACAATTTTGAAACAGTGCCAGAGTACCAAAAATTGAAAACATTTTTGAGTCCGTAATCCGGACAAAAATATATATCGAAGCAGTGTAAATCGCACGATGAATAAATTGTATGTTGCGTCTGCACTTGACAAATAAAAATAATTTTACTGGATCCGTCACAATTTACTATTGCGGCCACAGCTTGACGTCATACTATATAGCCAATAATCATTTCACGTTTAAGGTAGAGATAATTTTTTATAGTAAAGCAGCTTCGAGATCTGTCACGTCTGCTCTAAAAGAACTTTGCCTGCTTAAGGTTAAACCAACTGAGCGATTTGGATGGCCTGCGAACGTAGGAGCAGTCGTACTAGCCAGTTTTCGAACAATAGGGTTCAGCGGAGTTATAACAATGGCTTGTCTTATATTTATAATAAAAATTTTTGTCGATCAGCGTGAATCATGTCGTGGACTTTTTGAATGATTTCCTCGGTAACCACGTCTGCAGGGCGATCCTCATCAAAAACGGATGATCGTCCATGTTTAAATTCGTTTTACCAATATCTAACTGTGGTCATAGATGGCGAAGTGTCCCTAGAAACAGCATTCCACTTTGCTTTTATCTCCTCGCATTTTTTCCCATCCAAAATCAAAAAGCGAATTACCGAACGATACTCCTCTTTTTCCATCTTAGCGAAAATCACGAAACACGTGTAACTCGAATGGCTGCCAAATCCTAACTAACCTATCAATCAGTCTGAAATTTTTTGTGCCGTCCTTTGATAGATGGCAGCACACGATGATAACATTAACTTCCCTCAGGAGCGCCCTCTGTCATCAAACACGGGTACTTATTGATCGGCTCTCGTACTTCAAGTCGAGGTTTTAACTGTGCCTTGTACATAATAAGTACTCGTAGATTTGATGCCAAAAAGTACTTCCTTGCTCTGAGCAGATATGCCAAGTTTTTCCTTGCAGCTGGCGGTATTAATGACAAACCACGTCCTGACCTCCGACAAGCTTGAACGAATGACTTATTCCAGACAGAGAAAATTGTAATTTGTTGTAGAAACGATTTTATTTCCATCTCTTCTACCGCATTTGGCGAATTAGCAATAAATCGCAGTGTCACCTTTTCGCAAGTAAGAAGCTTCTTCAGCTTGATTTAGTGGTTACCCGCACCCAACGTTAAAATTCGATTAAACAGACGGGTAA